ATTGAAGTGTAGCTATTCTACTATTCTACTAGCATTGAAGTGTAGTTCTACTAGCTATTCAGCATTGTAGTTCAGCATGGAAGGACACAACCTGTAATTCATTTTGTGTTCACTTCAATCTCAGTATAATTCTTTTCTGCTGGATCTTTACAACTCTATGTTGGGTTCTTACCGGCTTTGATATCTTCTTTCACACGTGAGGATGAACTCTCGAAGTATTAATGGTGCAAAGCTTTACATAAAAATTGCTCAAGTCATGTTTTCAACATAATTATACTTTTGAAACCAATTTTGTCTCAACATGCAGCTTTGCAGATGATACTTGTTCAGCCCTTGAGAATTTTGAACAAAACCCTCAGAATAATAGTTTGAGCTCAATACTTCCATGTGCAAATTTTTCATCTTTTGACAAAGTTTTCATAGACATTGGTTATACTGTTCATACTTCTATAACTGAGGTATTCAATTGGAATACAAAAACCGAATACAGAGCTGGACACAAAATATATTTATACACAAGATTTTATAGAAGTGGGCTCTACCATCAAATCTTGTAAAATCATGTTCATCCATATATTTTCTGTGTCTGATTCTATATTTGGTTTCTGCATAACTAGACTTACTGAAATTGATTATGGGGCACACACACAATGGTGGTATTGTTTCATAATAGTATGAGAATGTTTTCTTGCTGTTGAATTAAAAAATAACACAGGTAAACGAATTTCTTCGGTTAGATGAACAAAACGACAATTTTTCAGAAGTTCAGAAGATTTGTGACCTTTTCTAGCTGCAACAAATTACAGCTATGCACCTGTTAAAATTGATTTATTAACAGAAGCCATTAAAATTGATTTATCCTACAGCTATTGATGTTAATGTTAATGGCTTGTATTTAGGCAATTTAAGATAGAAAATTATAGAAGTAATTACATATGGAGAGAGATGGAAAGGAGAAGAAGAAGAAGAAGAAGAAGAAGAAGAAGAAACCCAAATAAAAGCCCTAAATTTTTAGCCGTTGGCATCCCAAATCAAAGCCCTAATTTTGAAATTTCAAATCTAAAAGCCCTAAATTTTTAGCCTTTGGAATCCCAAATCAAAGCCCTAATTTTGAAATTCCAAATCTAAAAGCCCTAAATTTTTAGCCGTTGGAATTCCAAATCAAAGCCCTAATTTTGAAATTCCAAATCTAAAAGCCCTAAATTTTTTTTCAGACGTTCACAGAACCCTAACTTCTCAATCTCAATTCCAAACCCAAATCTCAATCTCAATCACACAATTCTTGACAAAATAATTTCAAACATTCGAAGACCAACCTGGTTCATCAAGAATTTCTTTGCTCAACCGATGGTGGTCGTCGCGGTGGAGCTATGGTTAACGAAGCGTAGCATATTAGGGCTGGAGCGTTGGAGCTTTGGTCGTCGCGGGGTTATGAGTGGGTTCGCCATCTGGGTTACCGCCGGGACTGGTCGCCGGTTCGCCAATGAGGGTCTCAATTCCAAACCCAAATCTCAATCTCAATCACACAATTCTTGACAAAATAATTTCAAACATTCGAAGACCAACCTGGTTCGTCAAGAATTTCTTTGCTCAACCGATGGTGGTCGTCGCGGTGGAGCTATGGTTCACGAAGCGTAGCATATTAGGGCTGGAGCGTTGGAGCTTTGGTCGTCGCGGGGTTATGAGTGGGTTCGCCGTCTGGGTTACCGCCGGGACTGGTCGCTGGTTCGCCAATGAGGGTGGGTTCAGTGGACGAGCATGGGTGACTGTGAGGCTGAGTGAAAGTGAGAGTGAGAGTGAATGTATAGCCTCACAGAGATGTGTTTTGTTTGGGCGGGAATCAACCAAAATTTCAATTTCTTTTTTTTTTATCTCAGCCGTTGGATGTGCAACTGCTGATCTCAGCCGTTGCAAGTAGGATGTGGAGGAGGCTTCTTAAGAAGGGGATCCGGACTCAGAAAAAACAACAGAAGGATTTTCTATTTTGACTAAAAAAGGTTGGCAAAAAGTATTTCCATTTGTAGAAGATGGATGATACTGAATGTGACCTTGACATGGACAGGAATTGTTACAATAACACAAGCATGAAAATGATAAAAAAAAAATATTTATGTCAAATGATGAGTTGTCGCTGATTATTAACTATCGTCAGACATGCTAATAGTGTGAAAGAATAAGATGTTAGTGAGATAGCAAGAGGACATATAGAGTGAGAGATAGTGAAAGGGCTGAGAAAGCAAAAGGTGAGAAGAACAATTAGCGATAGCCACTTAGCCCAACCAACAATGTTGTGCTATGAATTGAGCGAGAGATAGAAACGTAGGAGAGAATAGAGGGTAAAAATAAATTACGTTGTTTTGCAAAACTTCTAATATTGCTTGAAAAACTTACTATTGGCATCAATAATTAAGGATGTCAATTTGAACCCGACCCAACGGGGACTCGGCCCCCTGACCCTGATTAAAATGGTTTTTCCTCGAAAAATACTCCCGACGGACTGGGGATGATATTCGAAAATGAATCCTCGACAATTTTTCAATCGGGGATGGTGATAGATTCCCCTACCCCATCCCGGCCCAGGCCCATTCCCATCCTCGTCCCCGTTTCCCACCAGAACTAAAATTACTATTATACCTGCCTATTGATTTTAGAAGTTAACTTAACTAATAATGTTGGTTGTGCATGCTACTTTGCAAAATTCATAAGTGGTTTTTTTTTTTTTTTTTTTTTTTTTTTTTTTTGTATTGTGGTGTTGGTATTGTTTTGTATCTTATTTGTCAAGTTGTTGCTATTTGGATATTTATGTTTGAACGTTGCTAGATTATGCTTTTATATATATTATTTTTATTTGCCTAAAAAAAATAAAAGATAAAATGGGATATGCAAAATTTAAAAAAAAAAAAAATTCAGGAATTTTTCAGGGTCGGGGAAATTCGATTCCCGTTAAGGGGTAGGGGGTAATGGGTTCCCCGCCAGAAATCGGGGGTGGGGACATAAAATTTTATACTTTCGGAGATCGGGGATGAGGAGTATAATCCCAACCTTGCCTCAACCTGTTGCCATTCCTATTAATAACAGGCCAATTTTAACACTATGTTTGGGAACTAGGAGAGAAAAGAAAAGAAATAATTACTTAGGTTATAAGAGAAAAGAAAAGAAATGATTGTAATTTATCTCTTTCTTATTTGGATAAGTAAGAAATAAAAGAAAAAAAATAATTGTGATTTCTCTCATTCTTGTTTGGATAGATTTCATAAGAGAAAATAAAAGAAACTGTTTTATGTTATATTACCGAAATAATCTTTTTATATTTTGTCAATCATTTTATTTATTTTATTTTTATAGGTACAAAATTGATATTATGAAAATATAAGAATTTGTTAGTTTCTTTTTTTTCCCAATCTCTCCACTTTTGGAAAGATTGATAATGAGGGTTGTAAAAGAAATGAGTTTCTCTCTATTTCTCTCCATTTCTTCCCATTTTTCTCCACTTAAATTATCCAAATAAGCAAGAGAAATATATATCTTTCAATTTCTTTTCTTTTCTTTTCTTTTCTTTTCTCTCCAAATCACTCAATCCAAACATAGTGTAAAAAAAAAAAAAAAAAAAAGGCCATGTTTTGTGTCTTCTAACTTTGGGTTAGGCTGGACCTAGATGCATAACTGAGAGGATTGAATTGAACCTAAAATCTGCTAAAATGGGTTCGGATCCTTTTCATCATAAACCCTTTTCAAAATCAGAGAGCCTCTTCGTTTGCCATTGCTTCACTTGCCATCTTCGGTGGCTTCTTGTTTTTTTCTCTGGATTGTGAATTGAAGACCTGTTCATTGCTACCGCAAAAAGATGGCGAGCAATCGACAGAAAAACCCCGAAGTGTTCCCAATTCCAGACCCAACAATACCTAAAGACCCAAACAAGAACAAAATGAAGAGCAAATTCAAGTGCAAGAAACCAGAAACCCAATCGTCAGACCAACACAATATAGCCAAGCATTGCTCTAAGAAATCTCACTGGGAAAAGAACCGGTTTGTTTTTTCAATTTCCATTCATTCTTTATCTTTTTGGGTTTTCTCATTTGTGCATTTTTATGATCATTTCGTGAGTGTGTAGTTGAATCTCATTTGGTAATCAAATTGAACTTTGGGTATGAGTTTCCATCTCAAATGGGTTATTTAGGGCTGGGTTGAATTAAATAATATGGAGGATTTAGTTTATGTTTAGCAGTTAATGTTTGATTTTAATTGTGCATGGCCACTAATTTAGTACTTTGATTGTGTTCTATCTGATAGTGGACACTATTGTATAATAGTTTTAAATTTTTTACAGATGGCTGCATCTATTTCTGGAGAACCGAAAACCCAAGAACCCAAGAAACTAAACCCAGGGGTTGTTTGGGATCATTTCACAAGATTGGATTGTGAACATGGTGAAAATCCTAGGGCTGCTTGCAACTATTGTAGTATGGATTATGCATGTGATCCTAAAGTTAATGGAACAAAATTTATGTTAACTCATATAGAATCACAGTGCAAGGAGTATCCCTTAAGGCAAGATGAGAACCAAACTACCATAGTTTTTGAACCCAAAAGAGAAACTATTGATGGAGAAACAATTGGTGATCTTGTGGCTGCAAGTTTTAGTGTGGATGCATGTAGAAAAGCCCTAGCGGAGATGATCATAATAGATGAATTGCCTTTTAAATTTGTGGAAGGTGAAGGATTTAAACGATTTATGCGTGTGGTGCAACAGAGTGGCTAACAATCCCATCTAGGATTACAATTACTAATGCTTGTAAGTCAATATTTGTGAGAGAGATAGCAGCTTTGAAGAATGCACTTAGAGGTCAACGAATATGTCTTATTACTGACACTTGGACATCTATGCAAAATTTGAAGTATATGTGTCATACTGTGCATTTTATTGATTGTGATTAGAAACTTAACAAAAAAATTCTTAACTTTCGTTTAGTACCAAATCACAAAGGTAAAACACACGTGAAATGTGTCATAAGCTTCTAACAATTACATTTGACAATGCAAGCTCAAACAATGGTGTCATTAATTTCTTGAAGTGGTGGACCAAAGATAGGAAGAATACCATATTAGAGCATGAGTTTTTACACGTGAAATGTTGTGCCCACATATTGAATTTAATTGTTTGTGAGAGCTTGAAAGAGATTGATGACTCAATCACAAGGATCCGTAATATTGTGAAGTACGTGAAATCCTCTCCATCTAGGATGGCCGAATTCAAGTTTTGTGTTAAATTAGAGCGCATTGAGTATGAGGGTCAACCTTGTTTGGATGTGGCTACTCGGTGGAACTCCACATATTTCATGTTAGAAAGGGCTTTACAATTTCAAAAGGCGTTTGAGCGGTTGGAAGATGATGACAATTTTTTCCATTTGAAATTGAAAGAGGATGAGATTGTTGAGGAGGTTGGTGAAGGTGGTGAGGGTGTTGTTGGTGCTGGTAGGGCTAACAGAAACCTTAGAATCCCAAAAAGAAGATCTGGAGGAGTTGAGGAGTTCCGACAAGTGATGATTGGATGAAGGCTAAGTTGTACTTTAAGTTTTTTAAATTGTTTTACAAAGCAACTTTGCGTCTTTCGGGTTCTTCGTATGTCACTTGCGATGCTTTTTTTACAGAGATAATGGTGATTCAAAGTGCAATCACCAAATTGTGTGCAAATGATGATGAAAATTTGCAATTATTGGCACATGGCATGAGTTTTAAGTTCGATAAGTATTAGGGGAGGTTTGATAAGATCAATTTGTTATTGTTTGTTGCGGTTGTTCTTGATCCCCATTACAAACTTAAGTACGTGCAATGGTGCTTAGAACAAATTTATGGAGCTAAGCATGTTAAGGACTTGGTAAAGAGATTAAAGAAAGAGTTGGCACAAATATATGATTGGTATGTCTTGTATGATTCAATTGATAGTGTGCGAACTCAAAATTTGGGTGATTCGTCGAAGAGAATTACTATGGACTCTATGCTATTTGATATACATATGTTGAGTTTTGTATTGGAACATGAGAGTGTACCTTAGTGGGAGGTGTTGATGCTAAATGTTATGAATGCTATATATGTGGCCTTGCATGATTGTGAAAATATTTTATTCAGTTGATTATGTGTGGAGTTGTTCCTGAACCTTGGGTTGTATACCCTTTTATCTACTTGGGAAGAGGTGTGGCCTTGACATGGTAAAGATTGTGAATGGAGGTAAGGGATGTATTTCCAAGAGAGATTGACTATTTTGAGACTTGGTTGTAAAATTTATAAAGTGCAAACTATGTAAGGTTTAAAGATGAGATTTGAAACAGACATTCATAATTGTTGTTGCCTTTATTTATTTAATTGTTTTGTCCTTGGGTGTCAAGGGAGGGAGTGTCCAAATGAAGTCTTGGAATGACTCTACGAGTGTGATAGTTTGGCGGTATAATCTAGATTCTAAATTGTTTTGGCCCATAGGCAGTTTGGAATGGTAGTTGGTTTCATCTTTGTGTAATTTGGGTAACTTCGAGAACTAGGCTCTCTTTTCCTTGCAATTGGATGAGTTGGAATGAATTACGAGTTTGTTTGCTAAACCTTAGAGGGTGTTTCCTTGTGCTTAATGCGTGATAAGTCCTAAAAGAGAAATAGGATCTCTTGTTGGTTGGCCAGGGGAATAATACTATTGGTTTAAGTATCCCGCGGGTTGTGTTAGTCGAATCATGGTTGCATTTTGGGTGGACCTTATAAGTCACTGTAATACTAGTGTAGGGTTTGTGTTGTAACTCGAAGTAAATGTCTTAGAAGTTGAGTTGAATTAACTTTATCTTGAAGGCCATGTATGATTTGGGTGTTTACCTAGTTGTGTTAAGTCTTGCTTAGACTTAAGGTATATTATTGAGATCATTTTGTAAACCCCACATCGGAGTGGAACCGTTAATGTTGATTTGTAGTCTTGTTGATGGAAATCCAAACCCGTTGTCTGAATTGATTTTATTTCATTTGGGTTATGGGGCGTGGCATCACCCTAGTGTTGGTTAAGTGTTGTTTGCCTTGTGACGATTGGCGGTCACTATTGAGTTGGTGGTTAGTGGTTAGTGCTTTTGAAGAGGTATTGTTTCGTTTTGTTAAGGTCACGGAGTAAAGATAGTTATTTTGGCCTTGGGATGCATTGTACATTAGGTGATGGAGATAGTTCGTTAAAGTTGGGTTATCACCAATAAGGTATGGTTTCTTAGTATTTTGAGGAGTCGTTTTGCTAAAATTTTTGTTATTGAAAAATTTAGAAATCCCCTAGATGTTGATTTGTGATTATGTATCAATTTTAAGCAGTATATAACACTCCCAATCAAACAATCAAGACAAAACGACACAACAATTTTAACGTGAAAAAACCACAATTGGTCACCTCCAACTGTGATTAAAAAACCACGGGCAACAGCCACAAAACAATCCACTAAGAAGATTTAAAGGAATTACACAGGTATACTCTCAATTACCTAGCGAATCCAAGCCTAATTGAACCAACCTCTATGTGCCTCTTCCAACCCGTCTTCACCTCGGAATTGTCTTTACGATGAGCCACCCCGGAATCCACCAAAGCTTCAGGCTCGAATTCTTCAGAATCCACCGAAGAACAACTCTCTCTTTTGTAGAACAAAACACAACCTTTGATGTACTCTCTTTAAACCATGAGTTGAATACTCAATAAAACATCAAAGTAAACTAACAAAATTTCCCCAGATACAAACCTTAGAATCCCAAAAAGAAGATCTGGAGGAGTTGAGGAGTAGTCTAGTTTTGGGAGAAAACCAACTACTTATAGAAAACCAAAAGTAATCCTAGATTTGGACGAAAACCCAATCCTTATTGAAATCCGAAAAACTGTGTCTGCGCGGTCCGCTCGAGCGCCCAACAGCCTGCTCGAGCGGCTTCAACAAAATATGTGCGTGATATAACAGAGGTCCGCTCGAGCGCTAGAGAACCCGCTCGAGCGCGAAATCACACCATCCAATATTTTTACAAACCTGACAAACTTCTAAAACCCAGCATTCTCCGCTCGAGCGGGGGAATGTCCGCTCGAGCGGACAAGTAACTTGGAATGCATTTTTGCATTTTGCTTCGAGGGCATTGCCCCTCGACCCCGCCGTGGCGCTGCCCCGGACCCGCCAAGGGGCACTGCTCCCTAGACCCCCGCGAGCTGACCGGACAGCTCGATCCCCGTCATAATCAGCGAAGTGGCAATCTTGAAAGCATTAGCATCACAAACTTCTCTGAAAGGCACAATTTAGGTTGGATTCGCATCTAAACTCTCATAGCCTCACTGAAATAAAAATGCGAATAAAATTACAACTCAAAGGAGTTTTGTCAAACGGGAATTGCCAAGAATAAAACCTAACAGTTATGCTTGAGGAATTAGATCCTATTTTGTTGCTTTGGATTATCAATGTGAATAGAAGAATCATTTAAAGGTTAATACTAGTAAGGGTTTATACAATCAATTGTGGTGCAAAATAATGGTTTGGTTCGTTACCAGTGTTACTAGTTAATAGCTCATGTAGTGGTCAAAGAATTTTTGTTGATGCATTCGTAAGTACCTAAGTGAGTTTGTGGGTGACTGTAGGATGCATTACATTATTTGAGTTTAATTTTGAGGACGAAATTTCTTTAAGGAGAGTAGGTTGTAATGACCGCGAATTTTATTTTTTTTAATTTTTTTATTTTTAGCTAGTGCATAATTTAATTGAGCAAATTTTCGAATTTGATTGCTGTGTAAATTCTATGCGAAAATAGTTCGATTTTGTATTTTTGAAAAATAGTTCCCGTTCTCAGAAAATTATGATATTTTTATATGCTGTTCCCATATGAGTCTAGCATGAAGGATAAAAATTTCAGAATTCAATGATGAGTATTTAGTTTATGAAAATTTGCGGACTGATTGATGTTCAGTTTAATTTATAGTAGAATTTTGCTATTTAATTTTGAATGTTTAGACCGTGACTTGAGATAAATTTGTTGGGTCTATCTTGGTATATAATTGGACCATGTTTGGGTTATGGGTGGGACCCATGACTTAGATTAATTTAAATTGAGTTTGTTTAATGATTCGTGTTTAATTGTCTAGTCCTTTTTGATTATGTGATTGGTGTTGACCACCATGAGAGTTGTTATTATTTATTATATATGATTATAATAAATATTTGATAGTTAATTTTATGATGTGTACCATATGGAAAAATATTATATATTTTACAAGGAATGAAATTGTGTATGAGAGGGTAATTTATACTTATAAATTGGGCCGAGTTGGGTAATGGGCCGTTATGGGCCACGTTGCGAAGGACTGAGTAAAAAGGCCATAAAGTTACTCCGGCCCAAGAGAGGTGTAAACTTACTCCGGCCCAAGAGAGGTATAAAGTTACTCTGGTCCGAAAGAATCTTGAGGTTACTCCGGTCTAAAGGAAACTTTGAACATAGCCCGGTTGCCGTACTCAAAATTAGCCCGGTCTTGGCTTATCAAGGTTATCTCGGCCAGAACCTTGCTGTTTGATAGCTCGGTCTGATCACACCATGGTTGGCACTACGAGAAACCTAGGTAAGAGCAATGAATGGAAGAGCCGAACTAAAGTTAGCTCGGTCTAGTTTGCGGCTTAGCATAAGCCATGCTTACCTCGGTCATAGTGGAGTCCGACCATGGTAAAACCATCTCACTTGGTTTAAGCAGTGAGGAGGGTATTGAAGGATAAGCATTATCTTTCAAGAGTATGAATCCTAGGAGGACTCTACATGGAGGAGTAAGAGTCCTACTTGGATTGTGCTACACAGAACCTATAAAAGCTCACAAACATCACCTAGGGAGAGGTAACACAACTTTGATACAAAGAGCTTTTTGTCTACTTGTCTATGTTACTGACTTAGGCATCGGAGGGGTTTCCGGCACACACCCGCCGGCTAGCTCACGTTTGTGTTTTCAAGGAGTAAAGTGACGACGTTTGGAGGAGCGCAGACTTGATCAACAGGATTATACGAGAAGGATTATTTCTTTCCCGTACAATTGGCGCCGTCTGTGGGAATTCAGACAAGAACAAAACCTCTTGATCAAGCTTTTCCTCTTTAGAAGCAATGGCGCACAACGAAGATTTGCCCCAGTTTGCCATCGACGGACAAACACCGGAGGGGGGTGCAAGACGCGAAGGCCTACCTTTTATCCCTCCCATGGCGGACTTAGAGCCACATCGACAAAATCCCAGGAGGGATACAAAGGGGAGGAGGCGAACTAATAGCCCCCGTCACTCTCGTTCACGAAGTCCTGACAGACAAAGGCGGAGGATTGATCCTCAAGTTCTGGAGGACCGCGTAAAGGAGCAAGATGAATTAATAAGGAAGATGGCGGCGGACATGGAGGCCATAAAGCGCCAGATGAAGGGAAAAGGAGTGGCGACAGGAGAGGGGCGCAAAAGCAAGACGCCCCCTCGCTGCTCAGAAGACTGTGGAAGGCATTCCACACCATCACAAGCAGAGAGTAGAAGCCTCAGGACAAGCGATACTCAATCCAGAA